AGTAACCGACAAGGACTAAGATTTAGCGAGGACCCATTGCTCACAGAGATTTGAATCGGCGATAGTGCCAGCAACCTTTAGGAATTGGCTGCCTATGGTTACCCCACTGTATCGAAAATAGGTCGAAATCTCAAATTTGGTTGAAAACTTGTCTCTAGGGCTAATTTGAGCCCCAGAGCACGAATATCACACTCGTTCGGCGTAAAAACGCTTGCCAAGGACGTTGCAGGTTCCTGCACACCCTGCCCCTCCAGAATGCGTACAAGACGTTTTCACGAAATATGACTGCAGTGTTGATTTCCAGGGCACTGAAGCACCTCTAGTTTCAGATTCCAGCCAATTTGGGCAATTTGGAGCACCTCATATACATGCTGGAAATGGGTGTGACCTGGTCAAAAATCCTGCATAACTTTGTCCAGGAAGTCGTTTAGCAGATATGGAGGGCAGATTTGTAATCAGCGTCCAAGGGCCCATCGGGCAGTATACGTCTCATTTCGAATGGCCACTTCGACCAACCATCCTTTCCTTGTTAGTGTAAATTCTAGGTCGAGGAAGAGTCACAGATTGAGCGTACCGTCAAGCTGAACAACATGGGCGAAGCAACTGTTGTGTTCACGAATGACGAAATGAAGAAGCATAACTAGTGCAGGTACGCTTCTCAAAATTTCTCGAACTTTTTCCCGATTTTTGTGGGAAGTGCTGTAACCTTTTCGTACATTAGTGGTCCGATATACTGATTTATTCCCCCTTCCTTCCTTTACTTCCAGTCCAGAACTAACTGAGAGGAACATTCCCTTTTAAGCCAGACAGGCAAAACAAAATGGGGTTTTTTTCGGTTTTGGGCTTGGGAATAAGAAGTACTTAAGCTGGAAGCTAGTGAAGTACATACGCTAGAAGCTATCCCTTCATAGTATGTTCCAGAGTGCTCAAAGTCAACTCCCAAAGTCATTTTTATGGACACGTTTGCTCTTTTCTTCCCTCATCCAACTAATAACTAATGAGCACGTACCAGTCTATACTCGAGAGCCCCCACCCACAGGGTGATTCCATGGAGAGCTCCTTTCAGCGGATTTCATCTTTCCCTGGATAAGTGAAGGCGGAAGAATATCGTTAATTTCAAAAAAGGTCGAGTATAGAGGGTATGGACAGTACTCTAGCCTCGAAGAATTCTACTTACGTAGTTATCAAACCCGCCTCCTTTTGCAGTGTAATACGCATACTTTTATATAACTGTTCAGCTAACTTTGCGATTATTTTCTCAACTTTCAGAGTGACCCTTGTTTGAAGTGTACTTGAGAGTGGTTCTGATTTTTTTCAGGATTACGGAGGTGGTAGCATTCGCATCATCGCAACAGTCACGGAAGACCTCACCGATATTCAACGGAATGGCACGCAACATGTAGGTTGTTAGAAATGTAAAATTTTCTAGCTTGTCCTTTATGGAAGCAACCACAGTTAAATGTGGACTAGCACTATGTGGAATAAACAGTAGCGGAGTGAGCTTGTCGGTTCGGCTGACTCCACCCTTTTTGAGAGAATCTGTGGTCCTCCTCCTTCTCCTTCTTTCACTGGGTTCAGTTCAAACTCCCTCCGGTGACTCTTCCACTACTTATTCTCAACAGCAACAATAACAACATGCACTTCATATCCCGGGAATGAAGTGGGTGTGGCTTCGTACTTTAAAGCGGCGGCTGTTGCAGGTTTAGTGAGATATTTTCATTTTGAGGCTATTATA